CACTCATAGCAGGAGTATAAAGGACCAGGGTAGAAAATAATAATAATAACAATAATAATAATAATAATAATGAACAACTATATTATCAGAGACATTTTACAAGGGTGAAATGGGGAGTGGGGTCAAAAACAATGGGGCACATGGGTGATTTGGTGATGGGAAGCCCACGGGGATTACAACTGAGATGGAAAAACGTACAAAATGATGTAAAAATAACATTATTTTTTAAAAAGTATGAAGGTAGAAATTACATGAGAAGAAGGGCCTTGTCTGTCTGGGTACTCCTTCCCCAGGTCATAATTGTTGGCTCAGTAAATATTGGCCAACGAAAGATAAAGAACAGTGAGCTCTAGGCAGAATAGTTTCTAAGTACTTCTCATGTTCCATGTTCCTGTAGTCTTTACAGATATTCCAGTGCAGAATCATTAGAATTCACATCCTGATTGAAACCCACTGGTGAGTTTAGAGCCCCTGCTTCTTGTCAAAGGGAATAATTCCACTTCCCATGGCTCAGGACCATTCATGTGTGCTTCTCCATCACATGCTAATGTAATAACCCTATAACAAGTTATGGGCACCAAAAGGCAACCTTTCATTTCATTTCATAGGTAATAAAATGTTTCACTCACAGAAATGAAATATTTGGTTCCAAAGTGCCTAAACCAAAGGAGGGATCCCCGGTTATGACTATACTATGCATTGTGGTTGGCTGAATAGTAGGAATTCAGATTCCCCTGAGACACCCTCTACCTGGACTTGGTAGGCACCCCTACATAGTGAGATGAGGACTAGGGGAAGGCACATTTCCTTGGAAAAGATAGCCATTTATAGAGTGCTTCTTGGAGTCCTGATTTTATGAGATCCCGGTTTTGTTTTTTAATAATAGTTTATTTTTACATCATTTTATGCCTTTTTCCATCACAGTTGTAATCCCTGTGGGCTTCCTATCACCAAATCACCCTGTGCCATCACCATAGTCCAGTGTACTTCCCTTCCACTACTGTAAAATGTCTCTGGCATATAGTTGTTCATCATTATTATTATGAAATCCCAGTTTTTTAAAAGACTGTGATGAAGCAGGCTAGATAGAGCTTATCACAGTTTTATCACAGTATAACCATTTCTTAAGCTATGAACTTGGTTTATAGCTAGCTTGCTAGAATCTGTAGTCAGTAAGCATCAATACCTAGATACCCAGTCTTTCAAATTAGACTGATGTTTTGGGAGAAAAATATAGAATTAAAATCTGAACCAAGATATCGAACTTTGCCCAATCATCTCTGTTTCACTTTGGATGACTCACTTTGTTTCCTTTAGGATGTGGTAATTGGAATCATCATTTGGGAGACTAACAGACTCATATCTCTATTTTCTGTTCATCTTTCCCAGAGCAATCTAGAGGAAGGCAGATAAACTGTCTGGTTAATGCTAGTCGCCTCTTATGGAAGAAAGAGAGTCACATTTTCTCTGTTGAATTTGAAGCCAAGATCACTTTACTCAGTTACAGCTGCTCTTGAATGCTCCTTGGTTCATGTCCCCCAGTATTCACAAGATTTTAATCCTAGATTTTCAAAACAACCTGTTCTTCTCCATTGGTCAGTTAGACACTGATACTGAAATGTTAACTAATCCCTTAAGAATCTTGAGTTTGAGCTATCATTAAACTTCAAAGATTCTGGTAACTCTAGTCTCTGATCACTGATAATATTTTTTTAATTTAGAGTTGGAGCTGTTCCCTCTGGTAGTAAGTATAGCTGGGGCACACAGGACCTGTTATTGTTCTAAAATACAGTTCAGACTAGATGGTGCTCCCATTGGCATGGAATTGAGAGCCTTGGTCTGTTAGGGTTGTGCATTTGGACAAAGATTCTCATATTCAGTTGACCATAGAGCACTTCCATGATCTGTACCATATCTGAGTAGTACCTGAAATTTTGTTTACTGGTTTATATACATCCCATGTTGTATTTGAATATGTTTTACAGCCGTAAATGGAAAACCGTATTGCTAATCCTTAAAGGTAGTAAAATGAAAACAATGAAAGTAATTTATTAGATTCTAGCTAGATAATATTGCTTTGCAAAAAAAGATCTGTCTCCTTTTATTTGAAAAGTAGGTTGATCAGAATTGAAGATATTGAAGCACTGCTTCAGGGAATATGATTTGCCCCCCTCTATTCATTAACTATTCTATACTTTGGTCCTGAGTAGTACTCAGCCTACGTATGAGAAATAATGCCTTTGAAAAACCCATTCCCTGCCTAGTTTGGATTCTTCTGTGTATTCTGTATTTGGCACAAACCAATTAAATAATTGCTTGGACTTGTGTAAAAACCCCTTCCTAGCTAAAGAGGACATTCAGATAGCCTATAGATAAATGAAAAAAAAAAAAAGTTCAGCATCACTATTATAACAAATGCAAATTAAAAACACACCGAGATAATAGTTATCCTGTGAGAATGGCCATATAAAAAAGAATGGAATTGGCCCTCCCTGGTGGCGCAGCGGGTTAAAGCACAGCATTGAGAATCTAAAGCCGCTTCCACATGAGTTCTATTCCCGCCTGCCCTGGAGGAGACCACATGGCGTGGCAGACCTCTCCTGACCCGCCCGCTGCTCCCCTCAGCAGTGTACTTCATCGATCTGCCTGTTCTGCTCCCCACTCTGTCTCTGGTGAACTCTCTCAGCCTCCGCATCTCTGGCCTGTACCCCAGTTCTGTATGAATAAATAAATAAATCTTTAAAAAAAAAAGAATGGAATTAAATATTTGCAAGGTTGTGGTGAAAAGGCACAAAATTGTAGAATGTAAACACCAAAAAAAGAATTATATGCAAACAATAAAAATCTGAATTTGACAAAAAAAAAAAAAAAGATAATGGTTACCAAACAAATAGGGAAAAGGGTGAAGGATGTGGTACAGAGGCAGACGGGGTATGAAGACAGGTGGTTTAGAGTCAAAGAAATACCTTAATATTAAAAAATAAGTTGTTTATGTAATAGGGAAAAAATCCCCTTTCATTTTTTTTTATATGAGCTATCTCACAGGGGTACCTGCTATATCAGTGTGGTTTTAATTTGTTTGTCAAAATAATATTAGAGTTGTTGAACATTTTTTTTCATTTGTTTAAAGGCCATCTGAATGTCTTCTTTAGCCAGGAAGGGGTTTTCTCACAAGTTCAACCAATAAAATAAAATTTAAGTTATATGGTACTGTGCTTTTACAAAACTCCATCCAAAATGTACTATCTCATGAGGAATGGAGTAAAACTGGTAACACAAAAGAAAGATACAGCAAATGTATAGAAGAGATCCAGAAACATGCAATCATTTAAAACTAGCACGTGAGCTGCAGAAGGAAGAGAGATTTGCATGATGAGTTCACTCATAGATCCATCCCTAGCAGCCAACAAATACTGGTTGAGTCAAAAAATACAAACCACATTCCCCAGTCTTCTAGTGGTGATATAACCTTGAGGATCATGGGTGGAAAGTCTGAAGACTTTACAGGGAGGCAAGATTTGGACTGAGCCTTGGAGGTGATAGGCAAAGAGAGTGTGAACTTATTTCTCTCTCTCTCTCTCTCTCTCTCTGTCACACACACACACACACACACACGGTTTAAAACAGAAGCTACACTGTACTTCATGAAGGATAAAGTTTGACCAAGATGAACTTGGAAAAGCCTCAAAAAAAGTTTTCCAGTTTGGAAAAAAAATCTCACTTAAACCTTTGGTTCATGAACATCACATATCGAGTACTCATGTACTACCTACAGAACGAGTTGATGTCTCAGCAAGACAAACCATGTTTTGTTATAGCAATGATAACCTGTTTCTACAAATGGGTGGGTTACTTTCGAGAAAAACAGCTTTATGTGGGTATGCTGTTAGTGGATAGGCTTTGCTGTAAGGCGTCAGTTGTTAGAGTGCTCTTCAGACATTGCAGCTGTGTCATTTCCCAGTTCCCTTTGTTGTTGTCAAATGGAGTCATTGTTCCTCTGGTATTAATTTGCCATCACATGACTTGCTGTTCTAGAGATAGCAAATTCTCAGGTAATGCATATATTTTAGATGAAGGCAACATTGCTTTACAATGTATAAAGTTTACAGGTACAGGATCACACCCTTTAGGAGTGTGTTACACCACACCCATCACCAAGGCACCAAAAGTCCTCGATCATAGTTCAGGCATTTTTAAAAAGCAAACAAGAGAAGCAGATCAGCAGGATTTTAAATGCAGGGTGATCAAGTGGAATTTACGCTGAACGAGCTGTGCTGTCACGGATGTGGTTAGTAGCCTCTGTGTGCAGAGGGCAGCGCAGGTAGAGGACACTTCTCACTAAAGGCATTTCTCAGGTCCCGCCTGAGGCAGGAAAGATTTATTTGAGCTCTGGCCGCACAGGCCTTGTGAAAGGTTTTCATTTTCAGAAAGATGCCTCGATTTACCCTGGGTTTTTTTCCATGTTAGTTAAATGATACGAAATCTTCAGCTCAGTTATACTTAGATAATGCTTTTGTAAAAGTTTTATTTTTACTTTCCATCATATGAAAGCTAATTTTTAAATATGGCTAAATAAGAATTTAGGTCAAATCATGAACCCAAAAACAGGATGTAAACCTTCTTAGTTTACTGACTGCAAAGCTTAACTCATTAAAACAAAAAAGAAATAGAACTGAACTACTAACAATTGTGGGTTTTTTTAGACATACCTAAATGAAGCAGCACTGTAAAATATTTTCTAAACCTGAACTTAAAACTTCACTCATTTAAGTCTCTGCATCTGATTAAGTTCATTGTCTCTTGGGGAAGGGGTTGCTTTGGTAATCTAGTGTCCTGAACCCACCCTTGGAAAAGATGGAAATTACACACAAATGAGTGAAATCGTGTATTTGCCTTTCTTTCAGGTTCAGTATTTCTTCAAGATCTTGGATAATTAGCAGTATAGAAAATAAAAAATCACAAACTGAGGCACTGAGACAAGAGTGAATCACACACATGAGGAATGTGTTCATTCATTTATTGTCCGTTGTTTTAACCTGACTGAATACAAGATCAACAAGAGCACTGTACTCCTGGCAATTATTACATATGTTAGAACATGGATTTTGCACTGTAGACAACATTTAACACCGGTCTATGGGGTACTGCATTGCTTTTTATAAAGTCCAAAATAAAGATTTATTTTCAAACAAGTGACTTTGGTTTATTTCATACATTACACTTTTTCTTGCAGAAAAAAATAAAATTGTACAACTGCATAAATATAAAATTCTTCCACCATGAAAATGGTTAAAACATTCATAAAGACAGCACCAGCATGTGATGCCTCCAGAGAAAGGAAAGAAGGAAAGTAAAAGAAAACGTACAAAGCAAATTAACTAGCCCTGCCACTAGCCAAAGTGACGGACTCTCCGGATCTCATACATAGCTTCGGAACGTACTGGAGGACGAGGGAAGATGTGGAGACAGCATCCAATACAAAGCACAGCACAACCCATCACCTCTGTGTGTTTTTCTGTACTGTCACTTAAAATTTAAAGGGCAGTTCCCCCATGACAGCCCACCCCACCCCACCCCCAGCCCCAGGGGAAAAAAAAAAAGGGGGAAGACCTAACACCACAGGAAAAGACTATGGAGTGTTAAAAATGCTCATTGATGGGCCATTATCTTTGAAAGAGCCAAACCAAAACAAAAAAGTACCATGCCAGTTTTATTCCCATTGAATATTTACACCTTGGACAGCGAATCTTGCTCACATAAAGTAGAAAACAGATATGATAAAACATGGCTTGAAAAATGACCAGTGTGTGCACCTATAGTACTGTACACTAAATAAAATACACAAGGCAGCAATACTTAGGGGCCAGAAACACTGCTTACTACAAGTCAGTTATGGAATCATAATTTACAGTAAAAATGGGCACGTCCCAAGGCTCAATTTTTATTTTTCTTTTGTCATTTACAGTAGAATAAATATTTTGTTGCTATTGCTACACTTTAAATTTACATTCTAACCTATTAAATGCAGAAAGCTAGTGTAAAGCATATAGATTAAGTGTAGGTCCCATACGTATGACAGTTTGTTCAAGACTAGTAGGTTTTGTTTTTGTATCTTTTTAATGGTTTAAATGGCTAGTGGGAAAGATTTGTGCTTGTGATCAGCTCTTAACTTCAATTTTTACATCAAAACGTCCCTGAAAACGGTCTTTCTCACTGTACCCAATGTTCTCACCATATGCCTTACACTCAATGCGAACTTCAGTGTCCATGGTGAGGTTGGTGAACTGTACAGCCAGCAGGGGCTGCAGATAGCGGGGCTGTAGGAGTTTGCCATAGTAGGGGTAATACTGCAGGGGAAAGCCAGCATAGCCACCCAGTCCGAAATATTCCACGTTTCCAACTTTATCCTTATCTTCCTCTCGCTGAAAACCAGAGGGAAATGAGATTTTAGTGTTTCACAGCCTGGATTAGTTTTTGCACTCTCAAACAAGCAAGGCTTTTCATCCTGACAGGTACAACAGCTCCAACCTCCTCCAGAAGCAGGTGAATTAACATTAACTCCCAGAGGACACTGCCATGGTATCCAGCATGTGAAAAACAGACTCAGTCCAACCCATAGCAGCCCTGAGAAATGGTTATTAAAGGGAGACCAGTCTCATTGTACAAATAGAGACCTACAGCAATGGTCAACCAAGCACTTCATTAATACAACTTTCTAGAAAATCAAGTCAGAAATCCACTGGTGAGGGCCCAATGAATATTTCTGGTGTTATCAAAGGTTTAACCGTTTGCATGATTTTCTTGTGTCCATTTCCTTTCTTGGCACCTCCCTCTGAATAACCCATCAAGTATTTGCTTTTATTGCTACAGAAAAAAACATCTTTCAATATTTTTTAAAGAAAGCCTAAGACCACAAATTTCTGTGAACTGTCAAAAAAACATTAGCCTATAATTTTTAATATACCATGAGTATCAGACAAGCACTTATATGAGCTAGTGCACCTTGCAGTTTTACAAATTATTATTCCAGTTTGTTACATTCACATATTTGTTTCCTGTTCCAGTGGAGAAACTGACGTGATTTTATTCCTGTTACATCTTTGTTTTCTTCAGTTTCCCCCAATATACAACTGACTGACACTAATTCCTGAAAGCAGTGTTTCTTATTTCCCATGTTAAAATTGTACCTCTAACTTAAAACAGTCTCATTCATCCTTGCCCTCTTCCCCCACTCCACTCTAAGGAACTTAGTATCACCTTACCTTGCCAGTGCACTGGACAGGCAGGACATAAGGACTATACTTCATTGGGTAAGCCTCTAAAGACTCATTCTTGGGAGGCTGGAAATAAAACCCATGTTTGGTTAGTAAGCTTGTACACAACTTTTCAGATTTCTGAAAAACAAGTACATGGTGGTCACAACAGGTCAAATGAAATTATAAAACCCTCCAGGAAAGCAGAATGAGAGACTCCCTAACCAGCCTCTCTCAGAAAGGTTCATGTTATAATTTACTAAAAGAGAAGTGGCCAAGTCTTGTGAACACTACAACGAAGCAATGATTTAGCCCAGTAATAAATGGAATTTCTAATGGTAACCCATTATGTTTTCCTTTTTTATTGAGAAATAAAAGTTGACTAACAATACTCCTTGTTTGTGACAATTTTAGTAACTAGATGGAAAACTTGACTAACATTTTTCTTTCTCTAAAACAGGCTTTTTCTCCTGAGTCATGCAAAATAATGCCACATTTTTCCTTCAAGTGTGCTTTTTTTCAAGTAGGTTTTTCTCTCTCTTAGAATCTGTTTTCTTTAAGATTTTCCAGTGGGATGCTAGAGAACTATCATCACTGACAAAAACAATGCCAACAACAAAGCAGTAGTTGTATTGAAGTTGGAGAATTGATTTGGGGTAATAAATTAGAAAGTGGTAATGGATTACAAAAATGGAGACCAAATAAAGGACAAATACTGATCAAGTAACAATGTATAACAAATGTGTCTATAGATGGGGGAGGAGAAATATAGGACAACAGACTTGATGAACCACATTATAGGGTACAAATATCACTCAATATTTTTGAAGAGGAATTATCAAAAGCAAGGTTTCAGAGATCAAAGATTTGGATTAGTTGTCCTTTGCAAACACTACACCAATCCCTTTCTTTCATCTCTAAATAAATCATTTATCTTGGTGGAGGATTCTATTTTAGTAATATGAATGTCAACTATAATAATTGCAACATAATGGTTGTCACTTTTTTTTTTTTTTTTTTTTTGCTGTTATAGCTGTATGGCAAGATTAGCCTTCTGTTAGACGTGCATTCATTTTTGTAGGGAATCTAGTAAACCAGCTAGGAAACCCCCCATTCACTCATTCATCCGTTTTTGTCTCTGCTGACAATAAAAGAATTTGAATGCCTCAGTCAGTTAATTAACCTTTCCTTCTCTATATGGTATTCTTTGTAAAATATTAATGGGCAACAAGCATTGTGGAAATACATTAATGTCATACTTTAGAAAACAAGTGGATAAAAATCAGATTCCAGAAACAAAGTGGGTTTGTTCATTTATCTCAGTATATATCGGTTGATTCCTATCAGAATGTAAAATGGCACTCATAATGTCATTGTCCTCACGGACAACTTAAGGAAGTCATGCCTCATAGGGAAGGGACAGGATTACTTATTAATGATGGGGGTGATGGAGAGAATGAGAGAATAAACTTTATAAGAGCAGACACCACCATTTTTTCCCCTTCTTTTGAATAACTATCTGACCAAATGGTGAATGGCAATTTGCCATTTCTCAGTGATCTCAGGTAATGTATACCCATTTAAAAGCAGTGATACCAAAAAAACAATCTAAATAGTGGTTGATTTCTAATTTTGCAATAAGTCTTCATTCATAGGGGACTTTTTTTTTCCCCCCAGACTACCATACAGCTTTAAAAATACTCAGGCCACAAGAGAATCTGAGTCAATGTGATTACCCATTCAGGTGTTTTTTTGTTTTTTTTTTTTCCAATTTTAAAATACCTTTTCTAATTTTACTTTTAAAGAGTTCATATTATAGAATACAGCATCATTAAGACTATAATAGAAATATTAAGAATGGGACCATAGAATTAAGAGTTGGGTTCTGTCACTTGCAATTACTCATAACATTATAAAAGATTACGAGAATTTCAAGGCACATGCAGAAGTGTTTGGTGTTACTCTATAGACTGGGGCTTCAAAACTGTCACTCAGTCTACTTTAAAGCTTCCTAATACTAAGAAGGTTCTTTATCCAAGTTCCTCTAACATCTACGATTAAAACATTACTTGCCTTAGGTTTGAAACCCAGAACTCGGTTGAGCTTTATAATGATGCACGGTTTGCCCTCTTTGTAGCCATAAGATTCATCATTTATTCCAGAGCAATTTCCCAACCATTCAAGCTTGAACCTGCAGACTTTCCGCTCTCCTCGTTCATTGTTGTATTCTCCTCGTTCTTTGAGTTCACTGGGTACATCTGAAAAAGCAAACACATTTCCACATTGTACCAACAGTTCCCTAGCACCACTGAGAAAGAGTTTTCTTGTCATCAGTACCTCTCCTAAGACGATAATGCTACGCAACACTGAATGCATTGTCTGAATTAAGCAAGGGCTTTCAGCAAACCATCTGTCATCTCTTCACCAACATTAAAAATGTATTTTACCAAAAGCAGTATTTAATACATGACCCAACACCAAAGCTTCATGGTACTTGATGATCAGTGCATGATGTTTTGTCTCTGGCAGTATTTCCCTTCCTTTAAATAATGCATGAGTCAGCTATTTAGAAGACTAGAGGGAAACTGGATCACTCTTCATTTACACAGGTCAGCATCAGCTTAGTTCAATATGGATATTATAATTAGAACACAAATTAAAAGGGCTTCAATAATTTTCAAAACTAGAAGTGTTTCTGCTTAGAATTTTCTGGAGCTGTAATGTATAGAACTGGAAAAGATCATGCTTAGTGAAATAAGCCAGAAAGAATTTTCTGGAGCTGTGACCCTAATTAGTATATTAGAAGGGAGTAGGAGAAGAAAGTGTTTTTTTCTCTTTTCAACCACCAATCAAGTTATAAAAATTTATCTTAAGCTGTGAATTCTTATAAGCACTTATGCAACTGAGAAACTGTATTGTTGCATTGTTTTATCTGTACATCAAAGGCAGAAGGAATGAATAATTCAAAGCTAACACAAAGTCCCCTACAGGAAACTGATGCCAGTATCAAAATTTCTATCTGTTTTTTAAGTTTATAGATTATCTTCCCTTCAGTTAGGAAAGTGCCTCAACTCATTCCCTCTCCTATAAGTGATTCACCATGATTATCATTCATTTATGCCTTTTATTACTGCAAAGGAAGACAAAAACTTAATTTAGATTCTAATGAGAAAAATGTACTAAAAACTTTTAAATGAGTAAATCTTTTCAAGATGACTGAAATGGCAATTCTCTCCCCTCGATATCACCATGCAACAGTCTGCCATCTGAAGTATTGGAGTTGCTAAGTGCTTGAACTGAACCCCAAGGACTGATAATCACCTAGTAATTCAGAATGGCATTTTGTTTTGGTAGGTCTGACGCCATGTCTGGGAAACCCACACTCTGTGTAGCAAGGAGAATGTGTACTACTAAAGCCATTCTTTATCATCATTATTTCATTATCTATATGCTCAGTAGCCCACAACATAGCTTATTAGCATTCCAGCCAAGATCTATAAAGTATACTGTACCATAAACCCTTCTTCATCAATTCACTGGTATCAGTGTTGTTACAGTTACTTATATCAAAGGGTCATCGGTAAGTGAAAGACCCGCGTCCTCTGTTATAAGGGGCGGGAGGGGGTAAGGTGGGAATCGGAAAATGAAAACCCACGTCTGAGTAGTGGAAGAAATGTGTAAAAGTTTTAAAGTAAGACAGCTTGGGCTGTTCCTTGCAGGCAAAGGGTTAAGTCAGCAATCACCATTGGGGCTTGAGATTTCCCTTGGCCAGGGAGCTGACCCACATATGGCACAGCAGACCTCTCCTGTCTCGCCCGCTGCTCCCTTCAGCAATGTATTTCAGTACATCTGCCTGTTCTGTTCCCCACTCTGTCTCTGGTGAATTCTCACCCTCCTATACCTCAGACCTATACTCTAGATCTACAAAAATAAATATTTAAATTAAGACATCTTTCAGAGACAGATGATAACACTTGCAGTTCTATTGTTTCTTCCATGGCATCTAGGTAAACCATGAATCTTCCTGTTTAAAACAGTGTCCTTTCAGAATATCCAGAGTTCAGTCTTTTAATTATTACATGAGAATCTTTCCATCATTAAACAACAAAGAGAAATGGGAAATAAGTCCTGCCCAACCACCCACACCCAAAATATCTACTTACTGCCACAATCTTCGAAAACCATGTTATCCTTCTGGGACATCTCACTGTATTTTTCCAGGAATCTGACTATGTTCAGAACATATGCCTCATAGCTCTTGGGATCATTAGGACGGAAGGAAATTTCAGTCTTTTGGATCTGAGGAATCTGTGTTAAGCCTAGACCAGGGAGAGAGGAAACACACACATGTAAGAGGATCATTAGAGGAAAGGCAGTTAACCAAGAAAACTGAGAAGCAGCCTATGTACAAAACATACCTGGCTCCCTCCTGGCTGAGAAAGAATGGGTTAAATGATTACCTTTGTGTGAAACCATTTCTTTGTAATTTAGATGAAGTACCTAATTATCAGTAACTCTCTTAATATCATATATCATATAAATCCCCCAGCAGCATTTCATAAGGCATTATGTCCACTATATGAATGAAAACACTTCTTGCACAGAAAGGTCAAGTACCAGGCCCAAGGTCACAAACAAAGTGGTGGAACCAGAATTCCAACCTAAGTATACTGTACACCAAAGCCTACCACCCTTCCAGTACTCACGTGCCCATATTCACAAACTACTCTGCTAGCTAACGTGCCAGCTGCTTTCCCATCCCTGGCACAACCATCCGTGCATGTAAGCTCTTGAGCACAATGGTTGTCTTTATACTCCTCTTTGTCAAAGAATTTATGAACCATTCCAAACATAACAAAACCAAGAGTATTCAGTAGGGATATTTGGATGTTTTAACCTAAACTGGAGCAATATGAGCTTGATATACAATTATGTTTTCTACTCTAAAAGTAAGTGGTTATTCTGAGTCAATTAGTAAAATTCAAAGTACGTGCACCTGGGGTTTTCACTCTTTCTTCAGCTTTTGTGACGCCTTAATTTCCAAAAGTCCCCTGCCCTGATTAGATATTTCATTGACACTACCCAGGACCCACACAACACTGGGCTTAATGATGGAGTCTCACAACTGCATTCTACTCAAGGGCTGTCAGGTAAATATTAGATTCCTGGTTAAATGTGAACTTCAGATAAACCACAAATAAATTCTAAATATATGTGCCCCACGTAATACTTGCAACATACTATCTGTGATTTATCTGAAACTCAAATTTAATTGGGCCTCTGTGTTTTTATTTGCTCAGCCTGATAAACCTCCTTGCGTCCCTATTCCTGGTCCTGTCCTTAAAGTGCTGGGCTCATAAAGTAGCCTGTTTGGTCCTTCAGAGCACCCACATCTCTGTCCCCGGGCCTGTCAGATTCACAGTAGCCGCTCCAGACCCACTAAATCATCATTTCTGAGTGGAACTTGAGAATCTCTGTTTAATAAGTTTGGTGAGCTCCTAGTTTGAGGACCACTGCTTTGGGTAATTAAAACCCAAGAGTGACAATAGCGACACATACATGAAGTCAATGGCATAGTTGAAGTGACACTAGAACATCGTCACTACTGAGCAGTACTATGGTGAGATTTGCCAACAAGCTTCAATCAGGGCTGAGCTAAATGGCTGTTACTTTTTTTCTAGTGATTAAGGAGGATTTTGAGCTTCAAAAGTGGTTAAATAATGAGAGGGCGAGCCCACTTAGGGGGCTGCATGGGCAAGTTCTTCCATGTTTATTATTCCCTGGAGGAAGCAGCCAGCAAGGAATAGGAACCAGACAGAGGGGTTATCTAAAACAAGCTACTTTAGGAGAGACATTAAGAATTATCTCAAAAAAGTTGATGTGAAATCTGAGGAATTCAGAGGAGAAAAGCTATGAACAGTAACAGGAAGGAGTCAAAAAGCAGAAGTAGCTGAATTTTCTCATAAAACATCTTCAATGGAATGAAGATTTTATTTCTAAAATGAAAATGTTTTAATACTTAAAGCCACAGAAGATTGTTGGTATGGTAAAGCAATCAAAATAGACCCTGAATAATTGTATTAAGTTAGAAAATTGACACTGTGATCACTGATAGTGCTAAGAAGAAATACAACAAAAAATAATAGCTACCTTAAAAAATAAAGTACATAAAGATGAGTAGAAGCTTCCACTGGGAATCCATGCATGAGCCTGTCTGGTAAAGAGGGCCTAGCTAGTAGTGCCTAGTTTGAGCTGTCGATAAGACATTTAAGTCATGGTGACTTGCCTAGACTTGGGAGTAGCACAGAGGTAGCTCAAAGCCAGAGTTATTAGCAGAAGTCTGGAGGAAAGAGTGGGGGTTAGGGGGTGATTCTAGAATAATCCTGAAGTCAGGAGAATGGAGTCTGAGGGACTTCTGGCACTGAAGGAGTCAGTGGTAGAGAAGCTGGGAGAATCGGACATCAGTGCCTCTGGATCTGTCAGGCAGGGGGTGTGCCTATTTGTGGCATTTTGTGGATGAGAATGAGGGTGGGATAGGAAAGCAGAGCAGATGTGGACACAGAGAAGATCCAGGAATACCGGGTAACAGTGTCTCCAGAGTTGCGAAGAAACCGCATGATAGTGGTAGATAGAGAAAGGGGGAAGAGGAGGAGACAGGCAAGTGTCAGAAGCCAAGGAGCGGGCTCCTCTCACCTTCAGAAATGGGGAAGGTGGGGAAGAACTGGCTTAGGGGATGTCAGCATGATCATTTTCAATTGTGCCATCGTCAGTGTGGTGGTGACACAGCAAAATACAGAACGCTAACAAAATGTCAATGACCTCATTGTGAGGTTTGGAGAGTCTCACCCAGCAAGTGAAAAAGAGGAAAGTGAACCTAGAAGGTCATGTGGCGAGTAAACATGGTAGGAGCTAAACTGCAGGTTGAGTGTCACTCAGGGCAATGACCCCTCTGGCCCTGCTTCACTCGTCCTCCCCAGCAACTTGCCTCTCACTTTCTGGATGTTTCTACATTCTTTTTCCAGCACCTGTGCAAAGCCCCATTTCCTGGATGTGTATGAGGAACTGACACACATTCATGCAACACTTATCCACCTTTGGGTCAATGGTGGCCACACTGAGCACAGTGTCCCCCACAGGCTGTAACATATATAGCCTTTTGCCATCTAGGTTTGTGCAAAGCACTTTATGATGTTCATTTGCATAACTACAAAATCACCTAAGAATGAATTTCTTAGAATATATGCCTGGCACTTGGTGATGCCTCCCTGTACTTCTCAAATGTTCCCAGAGAAAAAAAGGAGAGAAGGAAGAGGAGGCAGGAATATGTAAAATGCCAATAGTTTCCATCATTATGAGAGAGCAGGTTATACAGGTGAGACTCCAACGCATCAATTCCCCTCACTGCTATGGGTTACTTACAAAAAAAATGGAACTGCTAGTTCATTTTCCAGAAGCCAAAGAACTATGGGCAAAGCTAAGTTTAGGTTTACCCAGAAAATTCTACCAGCCCATCCTTAATAGTATCTCTGTTGTCAATCATCAAAGATCTGATTATAATTACATGCATAATAGTATTACTAGTTCAGAAAGAGGGAGACACAATCGATCTCATGTCTCTTTAGAATAGGCAAAGAAACCTTAAACATCAAGTATTTGAATCATATTAATGTCTGCCTAAAAGCCTGAATCCTTCAGGCTCATGATCTGAGCCCTGTCAAGCCTGTATATTATGTGAGAAAAACGCACAAAAGATGCTTAAGGAGTTTGGTTGCGTCATGTACAGAGGAGCATCAGAAACTGGAGACACTAAGCAAAAGCCGAACTGGATGGTTAAGATCAGGTCTCATGATCCTATGACTTGCCCAGCTGGATTAGACCTTGGGCCAAGGGCTGCTTTGTGCCTGCCATTTTAAGTAATATCTTGCCGAAGGAGCCAGGAATGACAGAGCACTGGAGCACAGACATGTCTTGTGCACTTCCAAAGGCTCAAGTTTCCCTCTGGAGTCTCTGATGGTCTTAGAAGGTGTAGCTAACATAAGTTTTAGTGACCATCCTTTTGAGATACACAACTCTGACCTAAGTACTGCCTTCAGAAAAGAAGCCTACTAGGTGTGAGTTTACACCCTGCAATCAGTCCCTCTCCATAAACCCTTACTTATCCAGGAGGACCCCCAACAGTCAAAGGTGGCCACTACTTCCTGGGCATATGCTCTTCTCTCTTAAGATTTCTTTAAGGTCTTTCACTCCATCATCCACTACATCTGTCATTTCTCTTTTCTTTGCCCATCAAGCTGATGATCTGAGACTTATTCTTCCTGGGAGCTAGCAGAAATCAACCCCCTGGCCAGTTCTGTTCTTGATAATCTCAATTAGGAGAGTTCCCTGATAAGATCATCTCCAAACTGTTAGGAAAATTCCTCTTTTCAAAAGTTCTCTGAAGTAAATACATACCTTTCAGAGGCAGATCAAGGATCCCTGGTCTGATGTATAAATCCTTTAAATCATTTACTTTGCATTATCAGACTAATGGAAAGAAGAGATAGCAAGGAGTGGAACTTGATCTGACAACTGTCTTGAGCACACCCACAAATTCCTCAATTATGACATTCTCGAAGGGTTAGACAAACCCCACTTTGCTAAGCAGGGTTCTTGGTGACTGTCTTCACACAACATTGGATACTCTTAGCTTGTCCCTCTATAAATTACCCACATCTTAAAGTTGTTATTTACAGCTTTGGACAAGGATAAACTCTGTTTGCTATGGAACTCCCAGAGGCTTATAATAGAACACTCCGGGAAAAACATCTATTCTTTGCTTTTCCTGTCTTTTGACTTGAAATGACATTAGCCATGCTGAGCTCTTTATAATGTTGACATATTTTTGCCATCAATTACACATTGGTTATTACTTAGGAAAGCCATTTAAAGGTACTGAAATAGTGTTATGAATATAGAAACTTTAACATTTGATTTAATGTCAACTCATTATAGGTAAGACAGGGGATTAAAGGAAATCTTTGGCTTCACACTTTGCTTTTTAGAATCGCACTTGCCTTTTCTTGATTTCCTACTTCCTTAGAAATAAGTAAAGAAAACAATCTTTAGCTGTAGGTGCTCATAGCAAAAGAGAATAAGCAGTAAAAGTGGAGGGAAAGAAAAGAATAAAAGAGCCTTTTCATGATACATTTTGTTTCCAGTTAAGTTTATAATGTGGTAAAGTTTATAACTTCTCAATCTATTTGTGAGTTTAAAGTACTTTAACTAGAATACAACTATCTTAACCTTTACAACAGCTATTCAAACGAATCCCAAAGCACAG